ATCGTATACCATCAGTAAGAGCCTATTATGGGAGAGAACAAACTCTCTTTCATCTGAATAGGGAATTATATATATACTACATAAACCAGACTTTTCACTCACTGTCATAAACAAAGCAACACACACAGAACATGGTATCTTTCTTGTAGGATAACTCTGAAACAGATATGTTGAATTCAGTTTAGTTATATCCAAGCTTTTCTCAACTTACTTTTCAGTCTAGTACATAGGTTAAATTTCAATAATTGAAATCGGTCTGCTTCAGTAATAGATGTTAATGTAATTGCGTTTAAGAAGTCACGTAAGATCCTTACCATGAAATCTTCGCTCCTTCGTGTTAGGAAAAAATAGTATAGATTAACATAATCATAGAACCACACGTAACCTTCCTAAATACTTCCAGACAATAATTAATTATTCAAATTATAATCATTTTTATTACAACTTATCTTCGACACGACTACAAGCATTATAAATATACTAACTATTATTGATATCGATGATAATGAAAAGCTGAATGTAATACTTTTGTAGCGAATGACAAATAGCCTATCTTTAAGTACATTTTATGAATTACCTGTTAGATTACTTAAACTACCAATTGTCCAATAATCATACATTTATAGTTTAGTTGTTGAAAACAATTAAATATCTTAAAAGTCTAATTATTCATTGATCCTCAAGTCGTACAGTAATGGTAATATAAAATGATACACATTTGTAACAGCTAAATAGCCTTAGTAACTAAGGTGTATATTCATCATTTTAATCGTGATTCTGTTATAGCACAAGTTGGTTAAAAGAGAAATGGTTTTTTTTTTGTCATATTGATCTCATTCGATAAAAGAGACTGTCTCAGTTGACATTTAATCTAAGGTTTTCATGTTCTTACATAAAAAATCGAATACATGTGTACGCATTAATTTCTTATTTCTATTAATTTATCTGATAATTCTAAATTTTAGCTCTTAATCTGACCTAGAAATATAGAAATTGCCATAGATATAGACAGAATGTATTCATCTTGAGATAGTGCTTATAATTAATTGTATAAAATGAGGCATATCAAACTTGATAAGTTTCTAGATTTAGCTAGTTCATTCAGTTATAAAATTGACCACTATTAGGATATTTTCTAATTAGTAAAATATATAGATAATTCAACATCCTACATCACCCTCCTATGATATATAATTCACTAAGTTGTTAGAGTGAGATAATGGAGTGATAAAATTTGTAATCCATGAAAATAAAAGTAGCCTTAATCATAGACGATATTTAAGATGAGAACAGATATTATAACTGACTGTTCATTCTTGTAAATTAAATTAAATTCCATACTGAAATACAGCTTCACTTAAGAATTCGCTGAGAACGAAGTACTATCTGTCAGTTATTTTTTTCTGGTTTCTGAAGTTCTGTACCTCACAGCTAAAAAATAAATGCATTCTTGTATTCATTGACAACAATGGAATAGGTGGGTGCAAAACAAAGAAGTCCCAAGCCATTCAATTTCAAACAACTTTTCCCTAGTAGGACAATGAGATAAGTGAATCGATTCCACAAGAGTTCAATATGTTTATTGATAAAGATTTTCAAGGAAAAGTGGAAAATCCGTCAATTGTTACTACAATTTTTGTTAGTAAGGTTCGTGTTAAAACGTTCAAACAGGTAAACACTTATTTCATTAATCTCAAATAATTAAAATGTTATTTCTTTTAGTCTTACCACTAATGAAATCAGTTATGCTAATTCAGAAATTCAAATACAGGAAAACATTTCACGAATCAAAAAACAGCAGAACAAAAAGTATTATATCCCTTGATGGACTATAAATTCAGTATTCATCCAAAATGCCCAGCAATTCTAACCATCTTCAATTAATTCTGAACAACAGTATATTTATCACAAGGGATTTTGTGGAGATTTTAGTAGTTTCAATGGTTGAAATCATGAATCAATTGAAGCTAGACCACCATGAAAAACCTGGAAGCACTGGACGGCCGTTTCGTCCTAGTATGGGACTCCTCAGCGGTGCACATCCATAAACAGTCTAGTTCAATAATATGTATCTAATAAGTGAATTACTGTTTTATTAATGTTTCTGTGTCAGAGTGTAGAATGTGCACAGATTGTACTTTTAAATCTGCTATGATTATTGAAAGTATAACTCTCGTTTAAGTTTCAAGAGGAATTAAATTTTAATATTTCAAAATACGCTTAATCCTGCTGTTAGATGTAAGGAGATTATCGCCAATGAATGAATAGTTGAGCAATGTCGCGAAGTGATTGAAGTTAGAAAGTAAAGCTATTGGATACCAAGTCGGTGGTCTGAAATACTTGAGTCTGATTCGTGGTGGAGTTGGATGGGCACTGCTGAGGAGTCCCCTATAAGAAAGAAAAGACTATCTAGTACTTGCTAATTTTCAATGGTTCTTTAATTAAAGTCAATTCATGATGTGAAGCTACGAAATTCATACAACTTTAATACTCTCTATACTTGAAATGCTGTACATGTCACCATGTATAGGTTATAAAATTCGATTCTAAATAGAGAAGTAATATCGTTAACGTAGAGATGTAATAAAAGCATCATATATAATATATATTATAGCATAGAAATAGGAAATATCATACACATATAGCCTGATAACATAACTCTGAGCTTCAGATCTAACATTTAACAGTTTTATTGAAGAATTAGGCATCAACAGTGGGCTATATTTATCGAGAAGTAAGGTTGATGTGTTCTTTTTTTGAAACTTTTGAATTGTGTGATGACCATATAATAAGTTATCGTAATCATGAAAAATCCATCTTTGATATTTCAAATTACGAACATTCGTAACTTATTTCACCTGTCTTTTTTAAACATCCTAGATCATACCCTTTTGTGATTTTAATGCTACATGTGAGTCCATTTTTATAGGCTAGTATTACGTTTCTTTATGCAAGACACTTTATTCCTTATTATCTTGACAACCTATCGAATACTTACATTACTCATCTTTAAAATATGAAAACTATGTATTTCTTAGGTTCTATATACATGCTAAGTGACAAGATTTTCGCGCCGAATGAAATCTCTGTTTCTCCATAATGAATAAATGTGAAGTGTTCATTAAACAATAACCTTAGATTAGCATAGTAAAAATTCGCTAAATTGATACATTTATTGTAACATGTGATTACTGTAACCTGTTCATCAATTAAATAACTTATACAATATACATTTACATATTGAAATTTTCGATCGTTTTTCGTTGGTGGTTTGACCATTGATAAAATTATGGAAAAGATAAGCTATATACATTGTTTATTGAGAATTGACAAATAGATGGATAATATTGAGTTATATAATCCTCTTTGGTTGGTTAATGCTTACTTTCTTCTCTAATCCTCCTACATATTTCTCTATATTGAAATAGGTCAAAAGTATCGTGGTAATTGGCTAATAAAACAAACCAATAAGAATGACGAATTTTCGGTCTTGAAAATTTCATGACCTGAAACTAACCTTATTATAATAATTACCACTACACATTAACGATATTCAATCAAGTGAAATTTTCTAAGGCTCGTATGATTTTGTGTATATATGTATAATCTCAAAAAGTGACAAAGGAATGCAATCCCATAAAATTTGCCACAGGAAAAGTCACATACAGGTCGGAGTATTGGATTAGTCTTTAGTACTCGAAGTAATATTTCAAATATAGACTTGATGACGATTGTAAAAGAACAATTAGACGCGTCTCAGACTTGAATCTTTTCATTTTCTGACTTGCTAAACGTCAGATAACTATTATCCGTGGGTTTTGGTAAATTTTATAACAGCTTAAGTAGAAAATGCTAGACCATTGTCTCAAGCTGCTACAAGTCATTGGAAGTCCATTTTTGATATCGACCAGCTTGAGACCAGAACAGTCAGGCTCCAAGAGAATGCTTTTTGTTGACATCGCTAAGGCAAAAAGTACCTGCAGCCTTAAGGGAACTGATGGTACGTGGAGAACTTGGACTTCAATCGACCAACTTTACAGTCTGAGACGTTAATACCAAGCTATTCAGGGCGCAACTGACCTACTGTAGAACAGATCACCTTGTTGACGAGTTTTTTAATAGCATATATATATATATATATAATTAACTGGGCATCCTGTTTACTTTATTGTTTTTACCAGTATGGGGTTGTGAAGATTGTTTTGACTGAGATCATTAATCGATGAATGTTAGACCACCATCGTCCAGTGCTTCTCGTTTTTCAATGGTGGTTTAACATTCATCGATTCAGTATATTTATCGTTTGCATATCCTTTACTTTTGACACGAAGAACAACAGAAATGATTGATGGACTTAACTAGTTTTCACTCTATTAATAAATTGCAGTAATATATTTGCTGCAGGGTCAAACTGAAAAATGTTTACAGTTTAATGAATATTCGCTGTTAGGGACCAAATATTGTAATTTCTATAACATCCTCTGTCCAATTATGGAAAGGAATGAGTGCATCGACTTAAAATGTATTATAAATAAGTTTATCGTTTACAATATTCAAACGACTCTTATATTCGTTACAGATCAGTAAGTCGACTAATCTATATCCATCACTAAATTTTTTGTAGGAACTGGTTTGATTTAAAGTTATTGAATGGTAAGTTACTTAAAATAACATGTATGTTTGAATCATTTTGAACTGTTCGATCAAGTAAACTAAGATTTCAAACATTAACTAACCTATTCTACAACTTCATTAAAATACTTAACAAGATATCGCAGATGAATCTCTATAGTTCGTACTTTTCAACATAACAACTAAGTAATCTTACATCTGTTAGCTAGGACTAATCGTACTTTTTGTTAGCTACTTTCCTGATGAGTTACGACAAGGACATGAATACTTGTGGAGTGAGAAAAGATTTACAAAGAAACAGTCGCACAATCAAACGACAAATTGTCAAAATAAGATAAATAGCAAACCAAGTTGTATTCACCTGATAAAGAACTAATAAAACTGAATGCATTCACGTTGTTCGTCAAATCTTAATCTGACCGAGATGTTCACGTTTGCTTTAAAGATTAAGTGTACGAGATTACAATCTAATTTCTTTTGTACATCTAAGTAAAGCAGTTAAAAAATTTGAATGACTGTCTTAATTATTTTCTTAATTTCGGATTTGTCTGGCAAGTAAACCAATTAACACTCAGCAGTATCTGCATTCACTAATTAAATATATGCAAACAAACATTAACTCCGCTGTCAAACACTGAAAAGACTTAATCATTGATGAAAAATTATTGGATAGAATCTATAAAATACAATGAGATACATATTATACTAATCCGTCCATTCTGAAATTAAAAGAGTTCCATTTGTCCCACCGAATCCGGATGAGTTAGTCATAACAATACGTCGATGACTATCGGGCCACGTAACTTGTGTTTGATCGTGTCTAGGAAGTACAGCATAGTTCCTAAACAGATCTATACACTTTTCATTAGAAGATATACTAGTTGAAGAACTGGAATTAGATTTTAAAACCTCCAACAACTCAGAAATTGAGATAGGATTATGCAGGTTGAGGTTTCCACAAATTTGATTCTGATTAACAGATAAAGCAGCGTACACGGTTTCTATGGCACCGGCTGCTGCCAAACAGTGACCAAGGTGACCTTTAATTGAATTGATTACAACAGGTGTATGGTATTGAGGATTAAAATATTCACCAAACATTTGTGCAATAGCGCTCAGCTCTGTTAAATCACCAACAGGGGTGGATGTTGCATGACAATTTATGTGTCCAATCTAAAAAAAGTAAAAAGATTATAAAACTAAGTTAATTAATAATTATAAATATGAAACAGCAGCATATGAAACGAAAACTACATTTTTTCGGTTTTTTTGAAGATTAATTACCAATAAGCAGGAAGTTATGGAACTCGGTTTCTTGCTTACGAGTGTATTTACAAATTAATAGCAAATGTATACACCCCGAGAAATACGAATTCATACCGTGTAGAAATGTGTCAAATAAAAGTGTTGATCAATAGACGATAATTAATTTCGGATTTACATTGATCCATAATGTTTAGTTAATATTAAATTACAATAAATCATTAGAAAATCATTGACGATTGTAAGGTTTAATCACCGATAGTCGCTTTCAACAATCCTGTAAGATTTCATACACATAGTTCCCTTTATCATTTTGAAAGGAGCAAAAACAAACATTCTAGCAGAATAGCATGAATTGATTTTTATTTCGTTGGTTCTCGTCAGCTGCTTACACCCTGTGATATTTAAAAATGCCTACGAGACAACTTTTACCCACAAAAGTTTATTGACAAATATAAAAAGCGTAAAGAAAACAATACTGACGTAATTAGGGTCAATAAAAAATCAATAACTATAAATCTTGACTTTAAAGGTGATGATGCTGCAAACACAATCAACAGGAGACTGAATACTGCGCTAGCCAGAACTTATCAGGCGGCCAAACTTTTAATTCTGTATAAAACAACATTTTTAATAACTCAATCAGAGGTTGATAAGCATCCTTTTCATGTTACCGCCAATTGTATTTATAAATTTACGTGTACCTACCAAAGCAGCTACATTGGCCGAACAGAAAGGAGGGCATATCTCAGATTTTTTGAACATGTTCCAAAAAGCCTCAGAACAAGAGAAAGAAAGACTCTAAATAGTGCAATCACTAAACATCTCCTCGAGACAGGACACCAGGTCGATACCCTACAATCATTCAAGGTGATTAGTAAGCAGCCAAACTCCAGTCTTCTGAAGTTTGCTGAATCAGTTGCTATCAGGCGCCAAAAGCCTGATTTATGTGTTCAAAAGGAGATGGTTATTAATCTTTCCTTGCCTTGGTAATTAATATTCCTTCGTTATATCTTAATATTTTTTCTTTTCTTTAAACTCTTTCTTGCATTTATCACACCATTGAGTTTTATTCCAACTATCTTATTTTATCAACTGAACTCTACTCATTTTATTCCTATCAATATTTACTTCTTTCTAGCCGTTTGAACTGTTGTCACAATTTCAGTGGTTAAGATCATGTGTCAGTTGAAGCTAGACCACCATGGAAAACCTGGAAGCACTGGACGACCGTTTCGTCCTATTGTGGGGCTCCTCAGCAGTGCGCATCCACGACCTCGCCCCCTGCGAGATTCGAACCCAGGACCTACTGGTTTCGCGCCCGAGCACTTAACCACTAGACCACTGATCCGGCATCCGACGGTGTTAATGTCTAGCTTCAACTAATCCACGAAATGGAGCGACACATTCACCACTGTCTTCAGTGAGTTACTACCTCACAACAGACCTGGTCGAACTCCACTGGTCACTACTTCTCACTAGAACTCCAGGATATATCTCTTGAAGCCAGTCACTAGTGAGCATATGTTGATTAATATAAGATGGGTTTTTGTGGAGATTGTAGTAATTTCAATGGTCAAGATCATGAGTCACAATGTCACAATGTTCTTTCATCACATAAGGTATATATTTACAATATTCAGTCTATTATATTTATTTACACCCTTGCTATACTATACGAATATATTTTCAATATAACTTCCAATCGAACTTTCATGTAAGTAATTTAAACCCATTATGTAATTATGATTTTAAATATCACAGGTTGTAAGCAGCTGACGAGAACCAACGAAATAAAAATGAATTCATGCTATTCTGCTGGAATGTTTGTTCTTGCTCTTTTCAAAATCCTTTAAGAGTTTAGTTCTAGAAAAATCAACATCATCCGTACAAAGTACCGTTCATCAATTAGAGTATCTCATTTACTTTTATCCGTACAGAATAGTATGGCAGAAAAAGAGCATTAAGCAATGGGCTTCATAACAAATAATTAAGTGAAAAAATAGAAAATGAAAAACTATCTCATAATTATAAAATAAACAAATGAAAAAGACCAAGCAATGCTATAAACAAAATATATTTTGCTTTTTTTTACTAAACTAAATAAGGTTCGTCACTGATTTCGATTTTGAACGATGTCTAATATTGCATTAAGTCATTGAGTTGAATTATATTAGGACACTAATGATGGGTCGATAGAAGTGAACTTAACCTACCTGATATGCATTCAGCACGTTATGATATGGTACGAGAAGCCACTTAAATTCTTCTAACTAATTTCAATGTCAGGAGACAGTACTAGTTATAAAAGCCGCAGAGACGTTATACAAAAATAGGTTCGTAAATCGAAGTATGCTTTAGCATTTCATCACTCGTCGGACAATAATCGCCAATATGAGATCCCACTTTTATATACGCGATATATTCAAGGAAGTAAAAACTGATCCACTGAATGTAGAAGCAATGATGACTGGGCATCATAAATGTTGTATAGCCAGAGTAGCTAAGTTTTAACTGGATGGTAAGTTATCGTTTTATTATGAAATCTTTAAACGGATAACTATTATTTTTGGTACAACCGTCTACTTCCTTCATCAGTCAGTTGTAATCGAATCAAATGTATCTGGAGTATTCACATGTAATATGTTTTTAGTCATTCATCCAGTTAATTCTAAATCACAATTAAGTAGTAAACTCAAGATATAATACTTCTATAGGATAGTTTAGATGTCAAAAATCTAAGGTAGAGTCCCTCATGAACTTCCGCCTCGTTAGGTGGACCAGTTCGTTACGGGCCATGGAGGGCAGGAAAGTTTGATCGATGTCGCCAGAGCAGTAGATCAGTTGAACTGCCCTTCGGAAAATACTACCCATCGCCCGAGACGTCCATAGATGTTACTGACCGAAATCCCATCATCAGAGATTGTTTCACTCACACCAGACTTCTTGCTGCAAGTGACTCGGATGAATCGAAAGACCTTTCGGCAGTTACCAAAAGCAGCTGCTGATTCCAACTCGTTAGAATGCTCCAACCACCGGGCTTCTCGGTCCTTAAGCAAGCTTTTGCACAATTCTGTCACGCGAAAACCTTCGTTTATGGTCAAGCTCGCGGTTACTCGGAGTAGACCAGCATATTTCAATGAGTTGTGAGGAACCTGTGGAAACCTAGTGCTTATAAGCAGGACGTTCCGAGAAGTCGCAAGCGACTTTACTCGTCATTTTCATGGCGTCATGCAATTGCACCCAGTGCTCATCTACACTTTTCGATGGGCTAATACTTAGCCTTGAACCTTGCTGGGCTTGATATTTAGTTGCAACAGACGCTGCAACCAATTTTGTGACATCGATCATTTTATGGTGATGAATTTGTTGGCCACTGAAACGTAAGATAGGATTAGCGCAAACAAGGGCATGATCAGAGTCCAGATAAGTACTACAAAAGGAGCGGCAATCTTGTACACAGCCACACCAGCAGTAGCTGATTGTGATATTATCAGTCTGAGTCCAGGTTTCAGATACAGAGGGAGGACACCAGGTAGTACATCGGCGATTATTGTGCCGGAAGTTAGTTCTGGCCGGAAACAGGTTGTAGGCTGAGAAAAGTTGCAGTAGGCGGTCACTGTAATCTATTTTGCGACCAAGATATCCTCAACAGCCACCCATATAACTCTCCTATGTGCTTAGACGCCCGTTAGGAGATTCAGTCCCATGGTAACCGGTGATCAACAATAGGTTTGTACACTTTTTTTCTCCTCAGGGTACTGGAGCCCATACGTGCCATTGGTTTGGAATCAGGGTTTTCCAACTACCCTAGGTAGATCCTCCGTACCCACCAAACCGATTAAAGCGCTGACATTTGCTTTTCGTCCTTTCAATTTCGTAAACAAACTTCAAATAGAGAAAAAACTACGTGAAATTAAAAGACTGGAAAAGTAATAGTGAGTTAATCAGAGATAACACTGTATTTAACTATGTTTATGATAAATGACTGGTGAAATTGACGCAATATAGAATGGGTATGATGTGATAGTCCAACTCAATAACCAATTAAAAGTTAGTGTACACAGCTTTAGGCTATATACTTTGAATCATAAACCATGATTACACCTAGTTGTTTGAATCAATCCAATTAAGGCAACGTAAGAACCCACAGACAAATAGTTGGACCTCGAGTAACATTCTAGTAATAACTAAAGATATCTTTCATAAATCAAATAGTAAAGAATGTATAACTGAATATCTTTTTACAACAAGAATCAGCCGAACGCGTTTAGACGGCAATGATTGAAGAGTTTTCTACAAGTTCTTTCTAACTTTAGCAGCACCGTGAATTTTCTGCATGGAGAATGACAATTACATCAGAAGAAAAAACTATATGGTTATTATAGTTAATTCTTATTTAACTAATTTCACAATAAATTAGTTCGGTCTTTTCTCTTTCAATATGATTCAATCACAATTACCATAAACAAATTCACATTTAAAAGTATCCCCTGGAAGTAGAACCAAATTTAGTCAACTTTAATTACTTTTGTTTTTACTGGTGTGAACTATAAATGCAAATAGAATGTTGTTCCAGAAAACATTAAATAAATGAAGATAAATTAATATTTTAACTATTCAAAAACAGCTCTTACTTGATTGAAATGTTTAAGCTTTGAGTCTTTGAAGGCATTTAGCATACTTCGAAGTACTCCATTTCCTGTTGTATCAGGTGCAACCAAATGATGTGCATCTCCTATTTGTATGAAAATACAAGAACAATGAAGTCTGAGCCATTTTGGGACAATTGGTGAACATTTTGCAAATTGAGCATTTACTATATGGTTGTTAGATTTTATTAACGAGTTCTGTAATTTTGTATCAAATACATTCGATTGTCCCCACCCGTGTACTATTCACTACAGTAAGAGTACAGTTGCAATACACAGGTAGACAATAAGATCAAATGAATCCAAATTTAATAATATATACACTCTATAAGAGTAAATATCAAGAAAATTACACGTTCGATAGATCATATTATGAATCATGTTTATTTTCTTTCCTTGAAAAATTATTCACTTCCAATAAATATACTGCTCTGAAGTGGTGGCTTGATAGTTTAAACACTCGGTTTTTAACAAGCCACAAGTTCATGTCTTTTTATTTAATTCGATTAAAAAAGCCCAGTAGTATAACTAGGCCTCCAATAAACAGTGTGGCTTAAATTCAAGTACACAAAAGTGTACCTAGTAAATGAGTTACATGAATTCAATTTATCAATGTAGTATCATTCCTAAAATTTAAAAACTGCTAAAGTACAGAATAAAAGTTGAAAGGTGTTTAAGTATAACTTATTTTTACAACTCTTTCGCTTGTGTTGTGCGTCAGACATAGATCAGCCAATTGTAAGTAAAATAAATGTTGCAGTCAAAACTAACCTGGAACCATGTAATTTAGAAAATTGCAGACTGAACTCTTATAAGTGAAGTTCAATCAATTATCACTTTGTAAGCAGTTTAATAAATATTTCATATTTATTTCTGTAGTTGAATATACTAGAGAAGTATGTATCATTAATACTAAAAAGGCGCATTTCATCGCATACACAAACCCATCTTATTACTACTAAATGATGAATAGTCGTCTTAGTATGGCCATTAGGACAACGTTAAAAAAAGCGGAAGCAATATTTCGGGTACGTTTTTACTGAGTGTCTGCTTTTCCTGACGAAAATAACGAAAATATAAACACATGGATAAACCAATTATAAAGATTTGAAGCGATTTATTAAGAGGGAACTAGTTCCGTAAGAGGAGAAAGTCACAGCTAAATTCCCATCAAGATAACAGAGATGCAAAATCCTATGATAAATGCTAAAAAATCACACATCTCAGTAAATTGGAACAAAACTTACCAGATCTTCCAAAACCAATAACTTCAGCTATCGGTTTTGGTGTTTCCATAAATGATTCCATTAAGAAACTGTCTGGAGGAGGCCATGCCTGTAATACAACTGTAGCTGCACCTTCAGATAACACAAATCCTTTTCGCAAGGAATCAAATGGACGGGAGGCTTTCTCAGGATTATCATTAAATTGTGTACATAATGCACGTAGTCGACAAAAAGCAGCGATTATCCAGGCATTCAAAGGAGATTCACATGCACCAGTAACAACCAGATCAGCTTCGTTATTCTGAACTGGTGAAATATGAAACGAAAATAAACGAGCGATTGATAGTGAAAGCAGACAAGTGGATATCACTCTCAGTTATTAAATTACAAGTTATTTTAATTTCTAATTTACGTTTTTTCAGTGGTCTTATGTAGGGTGACTTAGTTCTTCAAATCTTTCGAACAAACAATTATATTTTAGTGTAGCCGTATTTGAAGCCCTTTAATTCTACTCTACTCATCACATATCTGTCTATATTATCGCATATATACATACGTATAAGATGATGATAGTGAATTTACATGTTTTAACCATGGTGATCATACGGTTAAATAAATTGCTTGCTTAGTTGTTTTACCATACACACCAGCGATATTCTGCAGTGATTGGTTATCAAATATCTATAACGTCTTAATAGAATAATTGTTTAACAGGTATAGTACATGTGACAAACTGTCAATCTTAGCAAGCGGTTACAAAGTGATTGTACACTTGAAATTGCTTAAAAATTGCTTACTCATACGGAAGCCTTCGCCAATGCAATGTAGGCCAGCAGCGCATGCGGTGTTGACTGTCATACACGGTCCTCGTAGTCCCCAAATTCGACTTATTATGGCAGCTGGGATATTACCGAGTGTTCTTGTTAAAGCATGAGGCCCAATAATAGAGTATTTCTTGGCTAAAATTCCTGATGATGTATTCATAACTTCATTTGGACCGTCCAACCCCACTCCAAAGCAAACACCTAAAGTTATACTACAAAATTACTGGCAAAAAACTCTCGAGCCATTAAATAACTTAAAATATCTATAGAAATGTTTGAAATACAATATACGAATAAATTAGTAATTATGACTTATTATTAACCTATCAATCTAGATAACTGGTATAATTATAATCTAATAAACACAAATAGGTAAGCATGGGCAGATTCATGTATGTATGCTAATCTACCTAGATACTCGAACCGAAGAGAGTGGGACGAGATTTAAACCAGCAACCCAATGATCGCTTTGAACAAGCCCAACACTCCATTGGGACTTGCTAAACTAGACTGATTTCGCTTATTTTATTCAGGTAGACATGGGGTGATAGTGATAAAATCAGCTAAAATGATATACATCAGCGATTGTTTTTGAAAAGCAATGTTAAAAATTGGAAAGTGCTAGAGTAACAACATATATCCATAGAAATTCTTTTATAGACACGGAACTATTGAATACAATAAAATGAATCGATCTACAGTCAAATATAAACATTCTCCATTCTCTTAATCTTTAAAAGTGACGTTACACAGGTAGTTAGTTATTCGGTCATAATTAACGTAGAACATGACAAAAATTTGAATCATATCCAGTTGATATGCTTGACCGAACTCCCCACTGATTAAAATCTACCTGTGGGAGCATGACAGTTAACCTGATCAGAAATTGAAATGCAGATTTTTGTTAACTGCAAACATATTCCCTAGATTATGCATCTGTTACAGCAGTTAGAATGTTAAGATAAAAAATGAACAATTTTTGAAAGATCTGTATTCCCTGAGAGTAAACATCCTCTGACGAATATTGGGCAAGCACATGAGCTCAAGTCTTTTCAGACTTGCTGAAGCCATAGCAAACAAACAGATTTTTGTGTCCAAGAAAAAAAACCCAGTGATTGATGCCAATAGCTTGAATTTAAATATCTTCTCCTGAATTATCAAATCATATTTCGGTTAAACTCCTCTTCATTTCATATCAAAGCTTTGCTCTCAATCCAGTGAATTCAGCTAACCACGCTCTTATACACTTTGTTCCTTAATTACCATCAATTTATCTACTGATTTAGCTACGTAACCACCTACTTTAGGCTCCATAATGTCTTTATACAACCCCTGTTGATTTTTGGGGACCTTCTATCGAACACAATAATCGATCGCAATATCTTAGAATACCTTACTAAATATATAAGGGTTTCTATTGTTCTAACCAAACTATGGTAATAATTTCTTAACCGAACTGCTAACAATCATCTATTTCAGAAATCAGATCATAGTGAACCTTTTCTGTGGTTCTGGCGTTTAAATATGACAGATCATAAATAGCTAATAAAGAGATGACGAGATAAAGTAAGTACTTCATTTGTTAAGTTAGTGCCCTGGCCTTTGTAAAATGGAAATAACTCGAATAATTCGGTTAAATATAACAAAAAGTAACTGGGATTCATGTTTTACTAAAATATCGAATGCACGTGCCGGTCGAATTAATAGACGTTTTAAGTACGTGATAGGAAGGAAATTCTCTGAACTAGTGAGAAAACGTCAGAATGAAGTTATCGTACCCCGCGAGTGTTATCTTATTAGATCATTTAAAAACATACCTGCTCGATAACCTGAGTTTGCTTTCCACTTCACTTGTTTGAAAGCTTCATAAGTTGCAATAATACCTAGAGCACTAGCACGTGACACAGATCTCCAATCATTAGAAATATCCAAACCACATGACTTATAGACTTCAGACTCTACAAAAGACTTTCGTTCTTCCAATTTTTGATTATCGATGCTCCCAAAAACCTGACTAGGCAAAAAAGAAAATTCATCTATGGGTCATGAAAATTAACACAAAAATACCAAGCGTCTTTGATATTCCACAAGAGCCTTTCAAAAGATTCGCCCATAATTCTGATACACTGAAACCCAAAGGTGTACAGACCCCCAAACCAGTTATTGCGACTCTCCGAACTCCCGTCATTAATAGAGATATCTAAAGGATATAATAAAGAATAACTTGGCGGACGAGCTAAGCTTGGATATTTTGTAGTTATATTTGTAAAGAACGAGAAGACAAAAACTAAAGGACGGTTTATCTTAAATCTATCAGTCATCCCCCTCTTAACTCAGAACAATATACTCAGAATACAGTATATCCAAATGCTTCTTTTATTAAGATATTTTTCGAATTATCATACAGAATTACGTAGCTATGGTGACTGCATGCACTAGGAGAAACCATTGTGATTAGTAAATATTTTTTATTAAATTAATGTGAGGCAAAAGAAAGGGATGAAAAAGTGATACCCGTATAAGTGAATGATTAAAATTAGAAATAATAAAACCGGAGTAGTCTTATTCTAATATGTACAGGGAGATGGCCCCCCGATCGAAGCTGCTACCTTGACGCGGTGGTCGGGCTTGCCTATCGTGATGACCCAACCGAGCTATATTGGCTGGAACATATGTTCCTGCAGGTTCTACCATGCCAGGCAGGTCGATTGGCGAACGGTAAGACTAAAAGCAGCAACTCAAGGTCTGAGGGCGAAGTCGTACTGCTGACTGTAGAGAGGTGTGACAGCAGTAAGGTGTTTCCCTCGGACAACCAGCATGACAGCGATGCTGCCTTCCCACAAGGAGGGGTGGGGTTAGAAAAGGTCGACCCTAAAAATGCACACCTCTCCTTACCTCACGGATTTCCGTCTCCGGCGGTAAGGCCCCTTGAAGAACGGAGCTAACACGTCAAAAACCTTCCACAAAAAGGCCGTGCGCGACCGGCCTCAAGCAGTTGTCCCTTGGGCTCTGCGGTCACGCTCCCAGGTCGTCAAGACCAACACTAATCCAATTTCCTTTTCAGGTTCATCAAGAAATACCCTTCCACGGTGTGGGCAGCCGGGAAGTGACATCAGCCCTCATACCCGTGACAGCACAAGAGACCAAGGTGGTCACATTCAAATCCTTCCTACACCTCCTAATACCTCTCTTATCCTCCCGACTAACCCTCCTCACGTCTCTTTATCACCTCGCACCGCTAGGGCAAACGATTCGAGTACGTGGAACGCCATTCCTGGTCTCCTGAAACCACGCTCTAAACTACACGTAGGAGCTTTTAACGTACGAACACTGTGCCAAATAGGACAGCAGGCTTCCTTAGCTAGGACTTTAGAATCTCGCGCCATCGATGTGTGCTGCGTCTCCGAAACGCGCATACAGGATCCGAGTAGCGTCATTCATTTGACCTCACCATGCCAAAATAAAGAACCGACTCGATTTACGCTTCGTGTATCTGGAAGCCCTGATTCTGCTTCCCGTGGCCTCGCCGGCGTAGGTATAGCATTGAGTCCTAGGGCAGAACTAGCTCTCTTAGAGTGGATCCCAGTAAACAGTCGTTTGTGCGCTGTCCGACTGAACGGAACAGTAAGAATCCGGAAAGATAGGGACACTCGTCGTTGCCTCTTCGTCGTCTCTGCCTATTCTCCCACTGACTGCAGCTCAGATGATGTAAAAGATGAGTTTTACAGAAAGCTTTCGGACCTTCTCCGAAAAGCTAAGCGCTCGGATGTAGTAATAGTGGCCGGTGACTTTAATGCTCAAGTAGGTAAACTAAGCGATAAGGAAAGACACCTAGGTGGATCCTATGGTGTCGTGGCTCAAAGAACAGATAATGGCGACCGTCTGTTGCAGCTATGCTCAGATAACCGCCTGTTCCTTGTAAATACTAACTTTAAGCATAAGGAAAAACATCTTTTAACATGGCGACCCCCTAATTCGTCCCAACGTTGGACCCAAATAGATCACATCGCTATCAGCCACCGATGGAGGGGCTCGATAGAAGACTGTCGCTCATTCTGGAGCACATGCCTAGATTCAGATCATGCTCTAGTGCGAGCGCGTATTTGCTTGCGTCTTACTGGACGTAGGAAAGATCCTGCAAGGAAACCTCTTAGGGCCCTACTTAATGATAGTCAAGCTAAGAATATATTTCAGGAACAACTAGGAAAACAGTTAGGCAGCCATGTATGTGATGCCCACCCCGAGGCAGCATGGAACGATATCCGAAAAGCTGTGGAAACAGCAGTGATATCTGCTAGTAAGGTAAACCGTAAAGTTAGGGAGCAACACTGGATCTCAGCAGAATCTATCGCACTGATAGATGCTCGAAAACTCCTTCCACCTGGCTCTGAACATAATGAAGAGCGGAGTCAGCTTAAGCGCAAGCTGACAAGAAGGCTACGCAATGATCGCGAACAGTGGTGGGTAGCGAAAGCAAGAGAGATGGAAAAGGCAGCGGCAATAGGTAATAGCAGACAATTGTTTAGACTCGTTAAGAAAACCGGAATTAGGAACCCGACCGTTAGCGAAACAATCTCAGAGAAAGATGGACATATTATTCATTCTCAATCCAGGAGATTGGATCGATGGGCAGAACACTTTAGGGATCAGTTCAACTGGCCTTCAGCCACACTTCGGTTTCCCACGATCTCCAGTCAACCTGAATGGCAAGTTAATGTAAGTCCTCCGTCCCTTTACGAAGTTGAAAAAGCCATAGGAAATCTGAAACGAGGGAGAGCAGCAGGCCCTGACAGGTTTACTCCTGAGATTTTTAAGGATGGTGGTCCAGTATTAGCAGCAAGATTAACTGAGGTCTTAGGTAGAATTTGGGAACTGGACGTAATCCCATCTGACTGGTCTCAATCACTGATTGTGCCAGTTTTTAAGAAAGGACAAAAGTCCTCTTGTGACAATCACAGAGGAATCAGTTTGACAAATATAGTATCTAAAATATTAGCCTCAATCATACTTCGACGCCTAACTAAAGCTCGTGAAGAGCAGACTAGAGAAAACCAGGCCGGTTTTCGACCTGGACGTGGTTGTATAGATCAGATATTCACACTACGTCAGGTTCTAGAACACAGACACACATTCAGACGCCCCACAATGGTAGTATTTCTCGACCTTAGGGCGGCATTCGACTCCGTTGATCGTGAGGTTCTATGGCAGTGTTTGTCACTGAAAGGAGTACCAAAGAAGTACATTAACCTTATAAAGGCTCTCTACTCGAACACAACTGGTAGAGTGAGAGCTTATGGCGAACTGTCATCAGAATTGATCACCTCAAGTGGTGTTCGTCAGGGCTGTCCACTCGCCCCATTCTTGTTCAACTTTGTCATTGACGTACTTTTAGAGATAACACTCTCCTCATCTAAATTTCCAGGGGTTGAACTTCTACCAGGAGGTTCACTTGTTGACTTAGAATATGCAGATGACATAGTTTTATTTGGTGAAGACGCTGACAAAATGCAGAGTCTTCTGACCACTCTAAGCAACAATGCAAGCATGTTCGGGATGCGATTCTCTCCCTCGAAATGCAAAATGTTGCTTCAGGATTGGGTTACATCGACACCCGAACTAGTGATAGGGAGTGAAGTAGTTGAGTGTGTCGACCGCTTCACTTATCTTGGAAGTCTCATCAGCCCTTGTGGTCTGGTGTGTGACGAAATCTCAGCACGGATACAGAAGGCTCGACTAGCTTTTGCCAACTTGCGTCATTTATGGCGTAGGCGAGATATCCGTCTATCAACCAAAGGACGTGTTTACTGCGCAGCAGTTCGTTCCGTCCTTCTTTATGGCAGTGAAACATGGCCGGTAAGAGTAGAGGATATCCGTAGGTTACTAGTATTCGATCATAGGTGTCTTCGAAATATTGCTCGTATATCATGGGACCATCGAGTAAGTAACACAGTTGTTAGGAAACGGGTACTAGGTAAAGATGGCAAATCAATTGATGACGTAGTGAAACTTCATCAGTTGAGATGGCTGGGACACGTGTTACGTATGGCCAACGACCGACTGCCTCGACGTGCTATGTTCAGTGGTATAGGAGTAGGTTGGAAGAAAGCTAGGGGCGGCCAAACCAAAACATGGCTCAAGTCCATGAAGTCACTGACAAGTGGACTGAGTCATGTTGGTAGGTGTAGACTACCTGGTTGGGGACCGCGAGATGACAGCAACCGATGGTTAGAGACCCTGAATGATATGACTCAAAATCGTTTGCAGTGGCGCAGGTGCATCCACTGTTTGTGTTCTCCCAAACTCTAATCTTCTGAATTCTTCATGCCCCTTTTTCCCTCTTTCCAAATTTCTTTCACTGGATTATACTCTTTAAATAACATCTCCAAACCCTAATCTTCCCGATAACTGCTTATACTCTTGCTACCTCTACCACTACGGGATTTGAATCGACAACTGCATCTCTGTGCTAATGTGGTGTGGCAACTCGAACTGATGTACGTACGTACGATGTTCTACGTTGTTACTGACTGACTGACTGAGATGGCCCCCGAATGCCCAGATACGACCGAGAGTGAGAAGGGTCCACTCTCACTCTTGAAAAGCTCTCACATGGCCACACGTATACAGCCATTGCCATGGAAGTCCTACTCACTGCCTTTTCGCAGTAACAAGGGTGTTGTTTACGAAACTGAGAGGACGAAAAGCGAATGTCCAGCGCTTTGGGTGTACACGGAGGGTCCACCTAGAGGAGTTGGAAGACCCCGATTCCAAACCAATCGTGCACATGGGCTTCAGGATCCTGAGGGGAAAAGTGGCGTATAAACCTATTGTTGGTCACCAGCTACCATGAGACCACATCTAACGTCGCTTAATTGCCTCGTGGATTATACCTTTAGGTCAAAGGCTCAGACAGTAGTCCCCTAAGAAAATCACCTACTTCGGTTTGAGCGCCCTGGCAGTATTCTAGACCTTACAGGAATCTAATTTGTGTGGCGCATACATATTTGGTGCTTCATTGTGCCAATATTTATGTTTAAATAAATAAATACATGGAGACAAATGGTGGATGTTGCTGTTCCAATAAAGTCGATTTGAATTACACTATTCAAATTTCTAGACTGATTGTCTATCTTATTCCCTTTAATCAGGAAGCTGAGATTTCACTGCATGGTGTTGGCCATAGGTTAGTGACTTTATGGATTGATGTCATTTTGAAAATAAGCACCGTTTCAAAGAAAATTTTAAAGAAACAAAATCACTTAATTTCAACACTTTTAGAAATTTTGATAAACCTAATGAATGTGTCGGATGTGTTCTACTCAACATCACGTTCAACTACCACAAGACTAAACAACCACTACAAAACCTTTCTTTTATATATTACTATCATTGAAGTGACTGCTTCTATGAATTTGGCGTTCATCTCGTTGTCAATGAAGTATGGTAACTTGGACTGATGCATATGTGCTGGTCCTACGTTGTAGGTGTGTGACTGACAAAACCAAAGGATAAGATATTCATGTCTAATAACTCACACACGAATTTAGCTGTGCGAATCCCCCTCATATCTACACGGTGTAGATTCTACATCACAGGAAAGTAAAACTGAAATTGCTTAGATCCAACTAAATTTAACATAACAAGACCTTAAAGGGTTAACCAATTTTTGTCTGAATAAATGACACAAATGAAGTTTGTTTATTTACATAGTGATGGGAAGTTTTCCTACATTTATAGAAGACTAGAAAGCCTAACAGACAGGACCCTAAACTGATGAGGACCAGAAATCGCTGTAAATGAAGACTTCAAGCTCTAAACACAAAATGTATTTGGTCGATATGTCATCCCCATGATATATTAGACACGGATAGGAAAGTATAATAGAAAAAGAACAAAAATAAATAGAAATTCGTGTATGGGAGTGAAGTAATGATAACAATTATAATAATGATGGGAGAACCAGTTCAATTAAGAAAGATACAACCCAGCAAGGATTCTTTCAGTTTCTTTCTCGCCACTTACTTCTGTTCTGAGCCATGTCTGATAACGTCACAAGCCATCTTTAAGACGTCATACTGAATGAATTTCGCACATGTCACCTTGGCCGGAATTCATAGCAAACTGATACGAAAAGAATTGGTCCAAATAATATAATCTTATCCCATCATGTCAGCTGAATTTCACTATCGAGTCTCCGAATTCACCTTAAAGTTTACAAAGTACAACTTTAACTACGGTATCTGATCGATCCTTGTGAAATATCCTGGGATCGTTTATGTAAAATCAACTATGACATTTACTAATAGCAACCTGGGCGTCACAAAAACCCAATACGTGTGGGTCCTGATCATCTATAAACCCTGAATTTATCAATAATCGAAAGTACACTCCGTTTCATTGTTGTATTGACAGTGAATCAGTAGGAAACACCCATCGCCTAACTGTTGTGAAAAAAAAAGTTTTCAAGTGGTTTCAGTCTTTAGCAGGTTGACTTTTATGGTCTTCTGAACTTAAGGGAGTAGATTTCACTAACTTGATGCCCTTGCTCCTAGTTTCCCCCTCGGTGTCAAATGGGGTTGAGTTTCGTAAGTACCAAAAAGGGGATCCAAAATAAATCTGGTTGCTAAAGAGTCATAAGATCATCAGCTATAAGGTGGCTTGATAAACCCACTTTAAATTGTTATCATGTCCCCATAGAGGTCTACGTTTACCTTGACTGATCTTAATACTTCTGGAGAAAGTTATATATCATTGCATTCATTTCTAGTGAACTCAACGACATCAATTGTCTTTGGTTGAGAGGGTGAGGTTATGCGTACTGGAAATATTTCAATGAATTCGAGTTTCTCCAAAATATACCCCGTTGGTTTATATCAGGAGCACACTGAAAGCTAACGAAATGTTTCTTGTCCAGAGATATCATGAACAATTTGCGACCTGCGGAGTAAGAACCACTGCGATTATGAGGTAGGCTCTGACAACTCAAAGTCTGTCTAGTTTGATGCTAATGAGCTTTATATTTGATAGCAAGATTCCTGCAAGTGGAATGGATTCCGGTTGTTTTATACTTCACACAGCTGATTATATACTGCCTGTATGACCCTACACATTTCTTTTTAAGAGGAATGAGCCATTTCTCGATACAGAAGAGGATTAAGAAACAAGGACCTAGACTTTTATTGTTTAAGACGGGCTACAGCAGTAGTCGAACTATACCTATAAGCCTTACTTGCATTCACCCCGGACCCCACATTTGATGTAAAGTTGAGATTTTTAGAACAAAAACAGTAGGGATAAAAATATTTTTGGTTTAGATGTTTGCACAGAAAGCACCTGAGAACGTTCGCTACGATTAAAACGATGAGACATTCACGTGAGGTGCCTTGTTGGGCTTTTTACAGTGATGGACATCAGTGAGCTTAAATTTATTTATAAATACCTTCAGCACAGTACCACGAGGAAATTAATTTTCTTAAATTTGACCGGGACTGAAAAAAAGTGATGAGATATTTGCGATACGTAATTAACTACCACTACATCGAAGCTAATGAAAAACTGCCTGTGACGAGTTACAAAAAAGTAGGATTTAAAAATGTATTAAGAATTTATTTGATCAGGTATTAAGTAGTAAAACCCGCTCAAAAATACCGATTTCTCTGAGGAAGTAATACTTGCTTACGGGACAAGACGTGATATATTAGTAATCAAAGTCAGCACTCTGTGGCCAGTTGCATTGTGCTGAAGAACTCGAAAACAACTACAGTTCATCAATCACTGCGGAAACATAGCGCACAGTGCAGATCTGCCGCCAACTCGATGTTCAATGGTAAACAACTAGAGGTTTGTGTACTTATATTAATCTATTCAATCACTGAAAAGGCAGTATTTCATGCTTCGTTTGAAAGTATCACTACAAGGCCTGAGCAATCCTTTCTAGTTGAGTACAGAAGTAACGAACCATTGAGTCGTATGTCAGTGAAATATAGAGGGCATAGAAAATGAACTGAAAAGCCAGAAATAAGATGGATATGCATCAAATTTAGGTACGTTGTCCTATTATCAACTTGTGCAGCTGATTACGGAGGGGAGTTGTGTTTACCCCTTCTGTTGATTTATTAGAGGGGGAGCTGCACAGATACTTACATCCTTCCTTCCGTTTTTGAATCCCACATAGCATGACATTGTTAACTGCTCATAATTAAACACACTTTTATACATACGTCTCTGGATTTACCGTGTTTTTGGATGTGATAATGGAACGAATAATTAACTGTCATCTATATTTATAGACTGTTGTAATATTTACATTACATTCTACGTTCGGATATACTACTGAAGCCATATCGTCTCATTGGAATTATTATTTACCCATAATTGTGAATTCTGGTGCCAAAATCAGCAGGACGCGCGCCAACCTGCTGATTTAAGTAATGTCCTTAAACTTTTATTTGTGTTATTATCTTATGCGTTGTTTATCGCTACATTAACTGTTGGACGTAATAACTTTATTGCTGTTTTTCGGTTAATGTACTTTTTGGTCCACCACAAACACAAGAAGAAACTCATTAGAAAATGATTCATACAAGCCCTTGAGTTTATGTTTGCACGGATAAATTTGACGATTACACTCTGTCGTGCCAAAAAGATGAAAGAGCATTTCAAACTCACCTTGTTGGTGAGGTCAGAAAGCTCTGCTATTATTTTAATCTCAGCTGCCTAAAAGTTTACCAGTATATCTGTTTTACGTTCAGAAAAGACGTACTAAGTTCCGTATTCTAAATGAGCCTTGATATATTCCAGATGTCAAACTAAGATATATAATCACTACAAAAAGATGTAGTTCTCTGGGCTCAGTGAAGCTAACTAAGCAATGATATGTAGTTAGCATAATCCATATCTCATTAATCCGCCGTGAAAATTATCTGCTCAAAAATGGCCATCTTATTTATGTTATTTCACATAAGCACCCCAGAGTTCCATAGTCGTATTTAAGGCATATAAATTAAGACGATGTTCACTTTCAAATTCTTCACGTAGTTTTGTCATTAAATATATTGTTTAGAATTTGACGATATTATTTTTAATAAATCAGAGGTTGAAGGCATCCGGCAGGTAAAGGTGGTTTGATATCCACTCTCATAAACCAGATCTACTGTGGACTATCAGAAGTAATTTTAGTGATCCGAAGGTCATATTATGTATTCTCGCTAGTGATGCCTAAGACTATCCAGCTCGTATTCTAATAATCACTTATGGGCCAGTAACCTGGTGAGAGAGAAATCTGTAGGCACAGTCGGAATTACTGTACTTGGAACTCAAATTATCCACGGAATGATAAACGAGGAAGTCATCGATTAGCACAAATACCAAAGTAATTTGTCATGATCATAATTATTATTCCATAATTTGACTGATGCGTTTTGCTCTCTATCTGAAGACCGGTTTGTGTCAAAGCTGTAAAATAATGTCCATGGTTAAAGCACATTTATATGGAAGTCCGAAAGGTACACCTCGTCTAATTTTCATTTATTTAATGTAGTTTATTTATTTTACATTACATTACTCAGACTCAGCATATTTTGTTTACGTCACATTTAGATATTACTAACACTTCTTATGCATTAAATGAAAATTAAACGTATAAGAATAGCACAGACATACAGCGCTTGACAGCCTTGTTGTCCGTAACATCTCTTTAATCGAGGACATCAAAACCCACTCAAACCAAAATTCAGGAATGAAAGGATCCCAAAGTACGTCTCGGAAATGGTCATTGCATCGAAAAGTATATAGTTCAAACTGACTAATTGATATAAGAGAGAAGGGGCATCGTGTATCTAGATATTATCTGGTGTGGATGCGTGGCGAAGCTCCTTGGGCTAGGGGTGTGTCCAGTAAAACTAGTGAGGTCAGCATCAATGTCCAAGACGTGCAAAACTATTTATTTTGAGGACCTATTAGTTAGATGTGTGGTCTAGGTTGGTACCAGCATACTTATTTATAGTACTAGAATATTAAATCTCTCCCGCAACTGTAGATTTGCCATGATGTGACTACTTAATCTATTAGACCTGACGTGAAATTCGCGTCATTATCTATACTGACTTGTCCTACGTGACAGTAAGTGGTTGCTTCCAAGAGGTGATAAAGAATACACTTGGGCTCAGAAGAGATTAACATATTTTATATGAAAGTCAAGGGGTTATATAGTGGTGACCGCATATGCATGCCTGAGCCATGACATTTCAATCAATTATTCCCTCATTCACCAACTCTGACGTTCTCACTGAGTTAAATGTTAATATAAATCTTCTCGATTATCGTGTGTTCACCTTCATGAATCATCCTGTTGAAAACCAATGTCACGACATATTTACCGTTTCAGGTATATCACATGAAGATTGCTAGGATTACCTAATCATTTAAAATCACTGGGTTTCTCAGACTGTTTTCAAGTTTTGGATGGTGATTATTTTCTTTTCTAACTTTATGACTATGATTCTTCCTTAGTCTTTCATTAATCGGCGATTTAATAGTGCTTTGCCCTAAAAAAACTCAAACTGTCCCATGGGTGGGACTCACAAACTTTTACTTACATTTACTGAAAAGCCCATGAGCCATGGTTTTATGTCATTAATATGTTTATATGCCGATAAAAGTTATACTGATAAGAGAACGCTAGTCCCATAACTAATTCAAGGTCATGCAACTTCTGTTTACTAAATCAATAAGTATTATTTCAAGATAGGGGTGCTTATAGGACGACTGAATGTCACACAAAATTCGAAAATACGTAACTAATTTCAGCTACTATAATGCATAAGAAGCGAACACACGTATTTTTGATAGATCTTTTTTCAGTATAAGTAGTGCTTTAAAATCTCATCACGATTTGACTACATGAAGTGTTCTGCACTATGAGAATCTAATCAAGTAATTGTCCTTACAAAATAAATTATGATATATGATGTCAAAGAATATGACTGAAATTTTGAAAGGGACAATAAGAATAGGTTTACAGAAACTTTTGACTAAATAGTTCTTACTCACAACCCTAAAATTCACAACACTAGCTAAGTGACATGAATAGGTGATTTCTTATCATTAATCAAGACGATTCGCTAATACTAGCTAGATCGGTATGGAGCACTAAACACCGTATAAACTAGGTAACTAACAACATAATTTCTCGAGATATTTCTTCTTGAACAACATGGATTTTGACTTGAATAAGTCTTATCATTTGACATCAGTCAGGTTTTGAAAAACTGAGTATAATTACATGCTAGCGTAGAACAGTTGAAGTCTTCTCATTTATACCTAGATATTTAACAGAATATTAATTTCCCTTCATGTCACAAACAGTAATATTGAAGATGCCACAGGTATTCAGAGTTTGATAACGCTTTAACCAGTAACACCTTCTAATATGGAGCGTACCCACCAAGTGAAATCAAAAGACAGAAGCGAGAAGGTTCGAAGATACATTTGACAGGCTATCAATATATTGAGGATCGTCTGATCTAATCTGGCTAGCTATTGTAGTAGATGTTGAGCACGGCGTTCCCACTCGTGATCTGGTGCGGATGCATGACCGAGTACCTTCAGCTAGGTGAGTCCATTAAAACTAATGTGGTCAGCATCCAATGTCGAAAACTTACAGAGCTATTTATTTTGGGGATTCATTTACCGCTATAATATCATAACTACTCCTCATGTATATACATATGATATATGTACATAAATTGTAAGTGGCATGGTTGTTGTTGGACTGGGTACTTTAGTATACTCTTGTACATGGTTCAAAAGTCGTAAAAAGTAAATTGTACACAGAAATTACACAATAAACTGGTGAACTAACTCTTGAACTGTTACTGATATATGTTATCCTGCACACGAACTATTTGAGATTTCATTAAAGGACTTTCAGTAATAAAACTTCCTTCCATTCATAGTCATGTTTATCAGAGGAACAGTTTGATTTATGATTATTTTGAATCCTCAAGGTTTGATATATTTCCACAGACTGCAAGAAGTACAGTTCTAGTTGTCTGTTACATTTGTATTCAAAACCAACTTAGCTACTTATTCTTATGTTAGTAGCTCAAGTACAATTCATCTGTATATACCGGTTCAAGACTAAAGACCACTTTTTATTCTTGTTTTGACTTTATGACTGTTTCCTTGCGATTAAGACTGATATTCAAATTAAGCTTGTGACTAAACCTAATCATTATAATCGGATTTTTTTCGGCTCAGGTTAATCAGACGTTGATAAAGGAAAAATACAGAGAAACCAAATAATTCTCTTGTGAAAAGCAATCATTCTGTATAACAATGAAGTTGTAAGCTGATATTATCTGGTAGAAATCGATTTCATTTAAAAAGACACTCAACCAGCCTAATGAGTGACGACAAGATTGATAGTTACATCTTCTATGGCTTTGATCTGTGGTTCAAGTACTAACTCTGATTTCCAGGCCTTAATTTTCGTAGTTATTGAATGATCCAAAGAGTCACTTATCATACAGGTTCGTAAATATTTTTAACGATTACTCATCACATTTATGATTTGTATGAGCCTACTAAAATTACAAATGACAAAACCCTTCATTTATTGTCAAACACAGTTTTAAATAGTTGTTTTCTCATATATACTACTCAAAAATATCTAACAGTAAAAAAGTAGCTCATTATCAGTAGTTTTATAAGTAAGAAGACGAATTATTTTCAGTGAAAAATCATTTTAGAAAAACATCTTGAAAAGTGTTTAAATAGCGATAACCAAATATAATTTCATCAAATTATGGGTTATC